CACACTCACACTCTCTCACACACACACACACACTCACACACACTCTCTCCCTTACACACACACACACACACACACACACACACTCACTCACAGACTCACACACAGACACACACACTCACTCACACAGACTCACACACAGACACACACACACACACACACACACACTCACACACACTCTCTCCCTTACACACACACACACACACTCTCTCCCTTACACACACACACACACTCTCTCCCTTACACACACACACACACTCACACTCACACACACACACACTCACACTCTCTCTCACACACACACACACTCTCTCTCACACACTCTCTCCCTTACACACACACTCACTCACACACACACTCACACACACTCTCTCCCTTACACACACACTCACTCACACACACACTCACACACACTCTCTCCCTTACACACACACTCACTCACACACACACTCACACACACTCTCTCCCTTACACACACACTCACTCACACACACACTCACACACACTCTCTCCCTTACACACACACTCACTCACACACACACTCACACACACTCTCTCCCTTACACACACACACACACTCACACTCACACACACACACACTCACACACACACTCTCTCTTACACACACACACTCACACACAGACACACACACACACGCACAGTGCAGCACCATCATGTGGCGTTGATGTGTGACAGCAGCTCAGTCTGATTCTCTCTCTCTCTCTCTCTGTTCTGAATGTTGTTTGTCCACTGAGAGATTTGAGTATTTCATTCAAATAATCTGCTCAACCTCTTACTGTGACTGCTTTGCATGCGCTGTATTGAGTTTGTGCAGAATTACCAGCAGATAATGCATTTAAACATGGTGAACGCATTTATGCTGTCTTGTTCTCTCAGCTAACACAAAACATTCTGGAGCAAGGTTCTCTCAAAGTGATGAACAAATGTTCTTCCCGTAACATTAATAGAACATTTGTTCAAAGTTATCTGGTCCTCAAAATGTTAACACAAAAACATAATCTGTACACTGTTTTCGGAATAGTTTTTTCCAAACGTTCTTCAAACGTTTTTAAATGTCTCGGAACGTTCAGAAAACATTCAAAAGTAACGTTTCCGTAATGTTCGTAACATGATCAAATGGAATGTTTCCTAAATGTTTGCACAACCAAGAAAAAAACATTTCTAAAACATTTACACGGAAAGTTTTAGAATGCAACAATGTGTCGCAGAACGTTCACTGAGAGCAGAAACTGGCACAACACAAACACAGCAGTCGACACTTTTGTGGCACAAATGGAACCCCATACACAAGAGCTGAATGTTGTGAATCCGAGTAAATCTGTGGATGTCGTGCTGCTCCAAGACAACACAAGTGTCTCTCATGATAGTGAGACTAATTTTAGCCTGGTGTTAAATGGTAGAGAGGGAGAAACACAGGGAAAGAGCAGCGTGTGAACATCAAATGTGCCCTTTAGGTCCAAACCCAAACTCACTCTCACATTTCTCTCTTTAATTCAACCCTGACCTTTCATTCAGGCCCGGAGCTCGACGAGGGACGGTCTGAGTGTTTCCACACCTCGGCTGAAAGGAAAAGACCTCCATGAAGACATCAGACGTCAATGAGACAAAATCAGATCGACAACATATTTAACAAAACATTGGGAATTTATGGGAATATATGCTAAATGTACGTTGCAAAAGTGAAGCCCTCATACATCAAAATCTATGTATTTCAGGAGCAATTAAACACATTTCCAATATGACGGTGGACTACAGTTAGGCTAAATGCAAATGTGGATGGAATAATAATAATGTTTCTTATTTAACAATGTTTTTATATATTGTAATTTTTTTGGAACATTGTAAAGTTTGTTCTTTGCTGATTTTAATTTTAATTTTTCAAATGAGTTATATGTTGACACGTGCTATAGACAACCAACACAGTTATTCTTTACATGTTACATATGTGAATGTGTTTTCTTGGACTGAAATAAATGTAGGGCAAATATATATTTTTAAATGCTTTAAAAAATATTTATATTTTTTATTATACATATATATATATATAGTTTAAAATATATATATATATATATATATATTGATAGAAAATATATTTATGTAAATATATTTTGAATCAAATATATTATCGTTGTGTATTTCTGAATATTTTTACAAATTAATTTGAAAAGACTTTTTATTTCTGTTGTATGGTGGTGACCTCCTGACCTCCAGATCTCAGGCCATAACAATTAAATAGACCTTTTGGTGACTTTGTCATACAAGCATTTTAAGTATGCATTAAGCAGTATGTTAGCATTCCAGTCCAAACATATCTAGAGTAAGTGATTCTTAACTTCAAAATACAAAGATTGATCTGGTAGACACTGGCACTACACTGCATTAGCGGCTTAATTTAATGCCTTCGGGCCTGATGTGTGCATGATTTATGTTCTGCACTGTTTATAATGGCAGACTAGTGACTAGTTATGATGGCATTTATATGTGATTACTTTGAAAACATCAGAGATGTGGGCGTGTCCTGAAACTGTGTAAGTGTTCGGTGTTTGTAGACGCTCCCTAAGGCTCTTCCCATATACGGGGACGGTGCTGAGAGACCGTCTATAAATTGCGAGGCCGAGGCTGGAACGCACACTCACGCTCGTCAGATGCCGACCCGAATCGCCCGCAGGTAATAACGTTTGACCAGAATGGTGTGTTTTTTCGCTCGAGTGTGACGGGAGAGCTGTTGGAGTGAGTTGTTGAACTGTAGAGTAGAGCTGCGATAGGATGCAGTGCTGTGATTGGTGAAGGAGGGGAACCTGAGTCTGTAAGGTGCAAGATACTGGTTTACACGGATAATACATGGCTTAGAAATGGTACCTGACATTCAGATGGAAACTTGCTTCAGCGATGTCTGAAATACGTTTTTTTTTTTTGCATCGCATTCTAAATATTTCATCATCCGCCACAAACCTGCAAAAACTTGCTTTTTTATACCAGTAATTTGCAAAACTGAAATGAGTTACACATGAGTTTCTGATGCAGATTATTAATTATGTAACTTATAATGTACAGTGTGTGTGTGTGAGGCTCTTACAATGGAGTACAGTGTCGATGCTCGCATGCAAAGGTCATAGTGTTGGACACAAAGGTCAGGGTTCAGCGAGGCTTTGTGAAGGTCATATAAAGTTGTCTTTACACACACACACACTCACAGAGACACACACCCTCTCTCTCACACACACACACACACACTCACAATATGATGACACACTCCCAGAGACACACACACACGCTCTCTCGCTCACACACACATTCTCCCGGGGTCTTTTCTGTCTTCTTCTGTAGCCGCTCTATTAATAGAGAAACCACAGACTGTATCGGTGTCAGACAGCTGAAGTGTGTGTACAGTATTTTATGGTTTGTGCAGATGTTTTTCTGTCATTTTTGACATTGTATTTTGTTTTTTATTTTTATTTAAAAATTCTTCAGTGAAAATGATACACACACACACACACACACACACACACACTCAAGTTTCAAAAGCTTGAGTATTTGCTCATAGAAATGATGGTGAAATTGAGAAAGTTGGACGTATTTAAACAAGCTTTAAATGAACTATAATCCCAAAAGAATTTCATTGTTACTGCTTCAGGCAAATTAGTTTTACATCATTTATTTAAAATGTTAATTTATTTACGGTTCCTGGTCATATATGACCACAAACAGCCAATGGGTGACCTTTTTTTAATTCTATTTTGTGTGTGTGTGTGTGTGTGTGTGTTGACTGAACGGTCTCTGTCTCTCTCAGGATGTCCATTAGTAAGATTCACGCTCGTGAAATCCTCGACTCCAGGGGAAACCCCACCGTCGAGGTGGATCTGTACACGGCTAAAGGTACAACACTCGATCGATCGGACTGACTCTCACGACACCCTAGCAACCACTAAATGTTCCTGCTGTCGTTTGTAATTGATGTGTGATTGATTGATTCGTCAGGTCGTTTCCGGGCAGCTGTTCCCAGCGGCGCTTCCACTGGAGTTCATGAGGCTCTGGAGCTCCGAGACGGAGACAAGACACGCTACCTGGGCAAAGGTACAGTACACCTGCCTCACACACACACACTCTTTCTCTCTCTCTCTCTCTCACACACACTCACTCATTCTCACACACATACACACACTCACACTCTCTCTCTCTCTCTCTCTCTCTCACACACACTCACTCATTCTCACACACATACACACACTCACACTCTCTCTCTCTCTCTCTCTCTCTCTCTCTCACACACACACATTCACACACACACACACACACACTCTCTCTCTCTCTCTCACACACACACAACACAGTCAAATCATCAATGTGTGTGTGTGTGTGTGTTTAAGGTACCCAGAAGGCCGTGGACCATGTGAACAAAGAGATCGCTCCCAAACTGATTGAGAAGGTGAGATCATTTACAGATCATAACGTGACTTATGTATTTAATTATTATTAAAAATAAACAAATTAATAACAACTATTATTATTATTATTATCATTATTAGCATCCGTTTATCATAAAGGTGTTTTTTGCATCATATTTTTGTCATATTGATATTTAAGTCAATATTAAAATACTACTTGCATATTTAATTTGTATTTATCATATGAAATAACTTATTTCTAATCAAACTAATGAAATCCCCAATAAACCTGATCAGCACTCTAATGGATTTGACTCGTCCCATCATCTTTGTGTCTCTAAACAGAAGCTCAGCGTCGTCGAACAGGAGAAGATAGACAAGTTCATGCTGGAGCTCGATGGAACTGAGAACAAATGTAAATGAAACACACACACACA